AGGGTCAGAGGGAGAAGCAGACTCCCCGCTGAGCAGGGAGCCCGATGCGGGACTCGATCCCGGGACTCCAGGATCATGACCTGAGCTGAAGGCAGTTGCTTAACCAACTGAGCCACCCAGGCGCCCAGCAGTAGGTAGGTCCTGAGTGGTCTTTTCTGACCTTGGTCCATTATGTTATTCTCTGGGAAGATGCATTCAGAACTTTGACAGCCAGTGTTGGAACATAATTTTATCATTCATTAGAACTTGTCTGTATGAATCATTTTAGAAACTGAAATATGTGTAGTTTTAAAGACATTTAAAACATTGTATTAGCCCCTTGGAGGCTATTGGGAGTAAAAATGGGGAGAGTTGACTCTAACCAGGGGTTCCTAACCTGGCTGGAGTTGAGGTTCTAGGCCAGAACTGTTGTGTCAGGATCTTCACTGGGTCTCCATGATCCAGGAACACCTTCCTGGCCTGGCTGTGGTCAGGGAGACCGGCACTGGGCAGGGCTGCTGTGTTGGAGCCCGTGGGCCTCTGTGGCCCTGAGGGAGCCTCTGCTCCCCACACTGATGCAGAGGGTGTGGAATTGACAGGAGGGCCTGCACACCCTGTTGCGCCATGGTGCTGGGAGGCCTGGCCTGCACAGAATGTGGTATTGTTCAGGGTGAAAAATGGGTTCCAGTCTGTACTGTCTTTGCATAGTGGACCCCCAGAAATGATCTGTTTTGAGATGGGTTTTTAAAATCAGTTACAGGTGAGATTAGTATTCATTTTGTAAACATTTATTGTGTCAGAAACACTGTGTTGGGACCAGGGACCTGGAGATGGTTATGATTTTGTGCTTTCTGTCCCAGCACATAATGCCTCCCATGGCCACAGAGTCCCATCTGAATGTAGGTGCACGTAAGAGCGGTCAGAATGGAAGCTTGTCAGCAGTGTGTGGCTCCTCGCTGCCGGAGGCCCAGCTCAGGCCTGTGAACGGAGACGGGAGGCTTCGGCGCACCCTGGTGTTCTTGTAAAAAGGCTGCACAAGTGAAACCGAGGCCCAGTGAATCTGAGGATGCACACGCTGTGTCTTCCTGGCCTCTTCCATGAAAAGTAGCTGAGCTCCCACTGCACACTTGTCAGAACGGCCAACATCCGGAACTCCGACACCACCAGATGCTGGCGGGGATGGGGCACAGCGCGAGTGTGTGCTGCTGCCGCTGCGAAGACAGTGTGACAGTGTCTCAGAAAACGCAACACACTCTTGCCACGTGGTCCAGCAGCCAGGCTCCTCCGTGTTTACCCCGAGGAATTGGAAACTTCTGTCCACACGGAACTTTGCACTTTATTCATAATTGCTGAAACGTGGAAGCATCCCAGACATCCTTCAATGGGTGGTGGACAAATAAATTGTGGTCCATCCAGGCAATGACATATTATTCAGTGCTAAAAAGAAAATGGGTTGCTAACTCACGAAGACCTTGAATACATTCACTGAGAGAAGCCACTCTTCCAGGCTCCCTGCTGTATGATTCCAGCTGCATGACATTCTGGAAAAGGCACAGCCACGGAGCCTGTGGAAAGTCAGCGGAGGCATGAATGTAGGCAGAGCACGGAGGATTTTGGGTGACACTATAGTGGTGGATATGTGTCCTTAAAAATTCGTCCAAACCCATAGCGTGAGCACCGAGCTGTGGGCTCTGGTTCATAATTGTCACATATCAGAAATAGACCATCTGTTGAACACATATCATACCAATGCAAGGGTTGTGTTTTCTGCTTAGGTTTTCTATAGACCTAAAACTGCTCAGAAATATTAATTAAAAAGACCAAAAACTCCTTGGTGTGTCTGGCCCATGCCAGCACTTGCCGGTTCTGGACAGTGTGGTAGAGCAGACGTGCCATCCTGGGCCTTGCACACGAGTGAGACGCGGACTCGTACGGCTCGGGAGCAGGCAGTTCTGGGAAGACCGGGAGTCTAAGCTGGTTCCGGTTAAGTCAGGGCTTGGTTCTGCTCGACTGAGTTAACGTTGAGCTCAGGCTTGAAGGTAGAGCAGGAGTTTAGCGAGGTGGTGATGGGGAGGAAGTCTGTTCCACGCGGAGGAGACCCGAGGTGGCGGCGCTGGGCATGG